TGTGTGTTTGTGTGTGTGTTTGTGTACAGTAAGCATATTTGTGTTTGTGTGTGCGGCACGTAATTGGATACTTATATAATTTAGTAAATTATACACTTGAAGAGTATTAAAGGCAGCCGGGCAGACGCCACGGCTAGGAACCTTATGCGAATGCAAACAAAAGATAAGATATCCTCGTTTGGCGCAATGTTTGCACGAAATGTCCAAAAGGCAAACAGCTAGCAGCAAAATCAACTGGCGACAGGCCACTGGATGACTATTTTGCTGTTTTCTTTCGGTTTTCGTCTTTTTTTTTTTTTTTGGGTAATATTACATAACAAGACAAGCGCACCCTCGAGTATCCTTTAATGCAGGCAAACGGGTGGGCCACACTAAATAAATGGACACTGGAGCACGAATTGGAACTGGAACAGGGACTGAGACTGGGACTGGGACTGAGACTGGGACTGGGACTGGGACTGAGACTGATACTGTCAGCCTGCTTGCCGTCTTCTTTCAAGGGCGCAGCCCGGTCGCGGATTTCTGTTGCTGGCTTGTCTCCGCCTGTCACGCAGTCCGCTAATGCGCTTCTCATGTCGCCTGATCTCCAAAACTTTTATGAGAGCTGACATTTGAGGTGTGTAAGTGTCTCAAGCACGTTGCCACAGCAAGAGAATTTGAAGCGAGAGAGAGAGAGAGAGAGAGAGAGTCAATCAGAGGTTTGGATTTGGCTTCGGCTTCAGGTACTGATAGTAGCACTCTTAAGTGGTAATTAATGTAAGTACTGTGGCGTTTATCAGTTTACAAATCGATTCAGTAATCCAATCTGAAGAGAGTTAAGCCCCGTTGGTACTGCCAAGAAGTTGAAGGTGCACACCGTGCTGACCCCTCAACCCTTACTCCCCCCCACACACACTCCTTACCTCTTTGCGCGGCAGCCGAAGAAATTTAATAATACGCTTTCAAAAATGCTAGCCCAATGCGCGCGAATGAACAAAATTTGTCACGACACATGCCGTACATATTTTGTAGTTCGTTTTTTTGTTTTGTTTGTTTTTTTTTTGGTAGCTCCCCAGGTCTGAGGCCAATTCGGAGACCGATCCAACTAACCATTTTGACGTACGGTGACAGACAGGCGGGCGGGTCGCAGTTGGCTGTCTGGACTCGGCTCGGTTTGGTTCGGCTTGGTTTGGTCAAGCGTTTGATCTTATCTCAAATTCCTGGTGGTCACTTTTCTATCCACAATATCATTTCGTTTAAATAGTCTGCCTTTTTTTTTTGGTTTTTTGTTTTCGGTTGTATTTTTTGTTTTTGTTTTTTTCCATTTTCATTTTGTGTTTTGTTTCGAAATGCACGTAATTAATTCATTTCACTGTGGCACATTCACATTCGTTGCTGCGTCGCCGTCGCGTGTTGGTGTCAAGAAATATCAAAACATCACATCAAATAAATGTTGAATACGCCACAGCGAGCTACAAGGCAACCGAACGAACCACTTCGAACCACACCTCCGAGCACTCTCCCTCGTGCCCCCTGTTCTTAGCACCTTTCACTACTTACGCGACGAACTCTGGCCTAAAGTTTTCCAGTTAGTTAGTTAGTGGTCGGTCCGACAGTTATGTTAATTTTCGTGTTTGGTTTCGTTTTCGTTCACTTTTGTCAGCTCTATTCATATTTCATAATTTCGAATGGCACAGTTTGCGTGCCTGGCCCATCTCCCTGTCCAGTGCCCCAAAGGGGAAATGCCGCGACAAAGTGGTAGATCGTTTAAAAAACAATAAAACACGAACCCAAACTGGCGCTGAACGAGACTGCAAACGAGGCACAAACTACAACTCGGGATAGTAATTAAATTGTTATGCCAGTGGACAGTTTTCAATTATGAGCGCCCATAAAAAGACCAATAAATGTTAACAAATACTCACATTGTGTTTAATATGATTTAGGGCTAGACGACTATAAGATAAGTGCACTCATAAAATGGGTGAGAAAACTCTAAATCAATGGGAATTGAGCATGGGGGCGGAGTAAAATAAAGTTGAAGTAAACTAAGCCTGACAAAATATTGGCACATTAAGACACTGCCAACAGTGCGTTATTTAAGAACTTTGAGAATTGAATAAAATACGTTATCATAAATCATATTACATTCACAAAAAGTCAGTCTATCCGTCCAAAGATACATAAAATTTTCAAAGCAAAGTGGATAAATTTAATTAATTAATTATTAATTATTAATTATTTTAATTAATTTAGTTAATAATTATTTTTAACTTGAACCTTAGAAGTGATTAGCTACTGCATTCAATAAGTGGCTTATGCACTCCTCTAGTTACTCATCGCAGTATGCAACCGATCCATATCTCCAATTTGAGCTCTCTGTCTACTGCCAATTTTCTGTCGATTGACAAAAATTCCTAGCCAAATTGTCATTGGCAAATCCCCTGAAAAATTTCCATTAATCTCTTGCTGGGCAAGAACGAATTGCCACGAAGGTAGCAGCTGGAGAGCTTTTCCATTTTCTACCAGTCATTTCCCCTACCACCACCACACACACACAAGTTTCTTGGTGATTGTGATATGGTCGGGTTATTGAAAAATGCTGATTAACACATTAGAGATCATTGAATTGAATGCAGTGAATATGAATATGAATATGAATGTGGATGTGAATGTGAATACGAGTAGGTCTGTAGGTAGGCATTTTATATTGCTGGTATTTTGCTGCGGCGAGCTTCTGCTGTGCGTGAATGCCAATATGTCGAATGCTACCATTTATAACCACGATTGCTGATTATGCTGTTTCCCCTGGCTGAAAATGGATGACATGACAGATGGAGTGGAGCAAGCATGTGCGCGCACAGCCAGAGACCGATGCTGTGATCGAGATCGAGACCGAGACCGAGACCATACAGTGAGACCTCGTTTCCTCCTCCTTGCCTCGCTCTCTCTCGCGCAGGTCTCGAGGTTGGGACTCAGTGACAGTTCGGTTGCAGCGGGGCTCAAACAAGAACTCTTTATTTAAATAATCATTTTTTCTGACAGTCAACTTGACTTCCAGATCGGCATCCAGCAACAGCAACAGCACCAGCTTCAGTCCCAGCACCAGCACCAGCACGAGAAACAGCGACAACTGCCATGTGAGTAGGTTCACTTCATTCTTGAGCTGCATTTCTTTCATACTTATTTTATATTATTATGATTTTTCATTTTCTTTTCTCTTCTTTCATTTGCTGTTGCACGCTTTAATTGTTTGTTTGACTTGCTGCACGGCTGCGCTGCTCGCGAGACGTTTAAGCGCCCGGTTCGGATTTGGGTTCGGACGTGGAGCGGGTTCCACTTGCACACGTCATTGTCATGGGCTTTTTGGGTGCGGCGCGTGGGGATCTCTGGCGTCGTTTAATTGAAAACGATGCATGTAAATGACACTTTTCAGCATTAATAAGCAAATATTTGTATGATTATTGGTGTAGCAAAGGGATTACGTTCGAGCTGTAAGTGGTAGGAGCGCTCGAACTGATATCTGATTGAAGTCGGGATGCTGTCGCAACAGGTAAAGTGCTTTAACTAGTTTCGATGTCTGGAAGTCAAATGCGACTGTCACATCAAATTGGCCAACAGGTTCAGAGACATTCTGGAGAAGGCACTGGCACTCCGTCTAGTTATGTGTGATATAAATCAATCACTTTCCTTAGATGTAGATCATATTTGATAGCAGATTTACACTGGGTGATTTATAACTAAATGTCTTGATAAATTACAAGAATGGTCGTAATGAGTTGACAAAAGTATACCAAATAAAACTGAAAGTAAGTTTCTGAGTGGTAACACTCAATCGGAATATTTAGTTTGGATCCTCTAGTAATCATAATATCTTAAGCTCTCTGCAAACCAAAGTTCGACACATGTATATACTCGTATTAATTATGTAATTTAAATTTCACAGCCATAAGTATACGATGGCAAACGTTCAACAACAACGCACAATTTATCATGAATTTCAGTTTATCATCGTTGCGTTTTTTCTGAGCTGGCTAATTCCAAGATACAAAACTGCTCGGCGCAGTGACAAGTGACAACCTGACTGACTGCACAGCATTGACAAAATTATCTGAAATATGCAAGAAATATGCCAAGGCAGAAGGAAACGGCAGAAAATATGAGAGACCGGCAGGCATTTGAAGAGACATTCTTATTTTTAGGTGACATGCCCTCGGTTGGACGTCTGACGCACTTGGTTGTTTCGTGGATATATCTCGACTGTCAATCAGTTTTGAAAGTCATCGTTTTTTGATTTTGCATTTTATTTAACTTGGATTTTGGATTTGTTTTTACCCTTTCGTGTGGTGCCCACAAGTATGTAATACTATATACACCTATTTATACATGAGTTGTCCAACTGGTTTAATATATTCAATTTCTTAGCTGTGATCTATTGATAGCCGCATTTAAATTGACTCGAGCTAATGGGCCTATGTGAAAGCTGAGATGGCAATTAGCAATAGTATTTAATAATTACCAAGGCACTGGCTACATATATTCATAAAATTCTGAAGTCGCCTTATTAGCATTAAAGGAAAATTAGCATTAAAGGAAAACGAAAAAAGGTGTCAAGATGATTAATGGTCTAGTTGAAAGGTCAGCGTACTTATTTGCCTTATCTAAAAGCGGCGTTATATCTTTTTGGATTATAGCCAGTACCTAAATTCTAATATCTAGACAGATTAAAAGACATAAAAAAATTACTGTGTAATTAAATTCTGCTGTACTGCATTTCGACAAAGCTTTACTCAACATCAAAAATACGCTTTTTACTAGGTTTTTTTTCGAATTCGTGAAATAATAATTTGTTGGGGCTAATTACAAATATAATCTGAAAACACATTTTTTTTCATTTATGAACATGTTTTCATAAATCAAAATTTTTTTAAATTGCTTAGGCAATTTCCTTCATAAATAAATACTCATGATTTGTAACCTGGCAGGCATGAAACAATATCTTAGCTTAGGGGCAAGCTTACCTTGTGGCTTGGGAACATTCCGCTTAAGTTGCATCCATTTGTATGTTGGAATGTTGGGCGCGTGATTTGGCGATTTTGGTTGTGAGTTTGCTTGGTGCGCGGAGTTCGCTGCGGACGCAGACGTTGTGGACGATGAGGTGGAGCTACCTGGTGATGTGACGCCACCGCGCTGATTCCTGGCCATGGTTATGCAGTTGCCCGCACCATTGGGTGATATCGAATGCTGTGGCACCACTTGAGCCTGCGAGCTGGCTGGCTGTTGTTGTTGCTGCTGTTGTTGCTGCTGCTGCTGTGCCTGCTGTTGCTGCTGCTGGGCGCTGGTTGTCAGACTGGCCAAATGGCCATGACCTAGACTGTGATGTAAATGGGCATGGGGATAGTCCATGGCAATGCCCGCGTCAATTGGATAGCCGCTGCTCATATGCTGATGGTGGTGCCACATTTGTGGCGGTGACTGTTGTTGCCCGGCAGCCAGCTGCATCATTTGATCCGGATCCTCAAGCAGCAGGCCCGGTGGCGGTGCCGCGTATCCAGCATGCAGCACCGCCGCATACTTCTCCTCCATCTGGCCAGCATAGCCATGTGGCAGCGTCTGCGCCTGCGTCTGCTGTGCCACACTGGGCGAGTACAAGCAATCCAAATTGGTATACATCATGCCATTCTCGGAACTGATAATGGGCGCATGCGCCTCCATTCCCTGCTGCTGTTGCTGCTGCTGTTGTTGCTGTTGCTGTTGCGTTGCATTGGCTGCTGTTACCGGAGAATTGTTTTCGGGTGGCGGCACCGTTGCCACGGCGGCAGTGGCATAGTAGGAGTGTACAGAGTCCGTCTCATAGTAGGAGTCGGCGGGCGAGTGGCTAGTTGGATGCAGTGGAGTGTTATTTGCCGCCGCTCCCGCCGCTGTGGTGGTAATGCCATATTCCGCTGCACTCGGACTGAAGAGATGCGAGTGCGGATAGAGTTGCTGCTGCTGCTGCTGTTGTTGTTGTTGCTGTTGCTGCTGGGCAAGTGAATGTTGCAGCTGGAGCTGTGGAGGAGGTGGCGTCAACTGCTGCTGCTGCTGATAGTAATTGGGTGAGTTGCTGTCGTAGCCATTATATGCCAGTTGCTGATGTTGCTGCACTTGCTGTTGCAACTGCTGCTGCTGGTGTTGCTGCTGCAATTGCTGTTGCTGGTGATGGTGGGTCGGGGAGGGAAAATAGTTGCTGTTAAAGCCGTCGTAGGCGGTGGCCGTGGCATGTGGATGATGATGCGGATGGTTGCCGTACATGCTGCTAACGTCCATCATATTGTAAGCCAAACTCAACTCACAAAAATTGTATTGCCTAAAACAAGTGAGAAATTTCCTGAAGTTTTGTCGAAAATAAAATGGTGTTTAATTTGGCATTGCCCTAAAAAATTTAAGTCCATTTTAAGATTATTCAAATTAAAATCGTTGTTTAAAATATCAAAAGGTAACAAGCAATACTATTGAAGGCTTTTTTATATAGATTATTGAAAGTAAAACAGAATTTAATGGTGGTAATATATATAATAAATGTAATGAAAATAATGACGAATACTTTGGACTTTTAGCTTTGTCTTAAAATGGGCGAAATCTTAAATATTTTAGGCTACATTTTCATTGTGATGCTTAAGGTAATAAATGCTTTAGGCAATACTATTTTGGTCTAGAACACAAAACTAACTTTTTGCAAAATAAGAATTTCCCGAATGTGTAAACACTTTGGCAGTGCTTCAGCACAAATATATATATATTTGAATTTCAAATGATTTCAAAAACACTTTGGCACACTAACATAAACAGTTAAGAGGAACACGCCATAACAGTTTCAGTTTCAGTTGCCGTTCCGACGGTTTCTGTTTTTACCACGCGACGGTTCTCGAACTTCGTGCTGCATGCGCGCTAACCAAGTCGTGACTGATTGCTGGACGGGCGGCAGCCAACCCAGCAACACACACAGACGACTGAGTGTCGGCAGGCCACGCCCCGACCATCTAAGAGCTGCCATCTCGCTTCCACTGACTGCGACCTGGCCATGGTAAAATGGGTAGCTGTGGTGTAGTGCCATCTCGCTCGCTACCATTATGAGAGGTCTGCAGGCAGGGAGTTCTCTTATCAGTGGACTCCGGTACGGGGGTTAGTCATTACCGGTTTTGGCAGTTGCTGTTTTCATTTAGTTTTTTGCTGGTCCCAGGGCAAATGCTGATATTAGAGTTACGCCCATGTTCATGTCTTATTTAACTCTGGTAGCTACACACGTACATAAGTATATATGTACCGACATTCATACCTATGTAGAAAGAGTTTTTGTTGTTGGCTGTTTTTTTTTTTTGTGTTACTTAGATACTTTCGACACGTTTTGTTATTTGTATTTTCGCACCTACATGGGCCAACTCCCAAATGAATTGGCAGTGCAGGTAGTGGCCAAAATTGGTCACCGAAGCTCGACTGGGCTGTGCCGGCTGTGCAGCTGTCAATCGTCATCATACTTTCCACATTTGACAGGCCCATCTATGTATGTACGAATGGCTGCTGTGGAATTTAAATCGCCGTCTCGTCTCGTCTCGTCTTGTCGCGTCTCGTCCCGTTCCGACAGTGACTTTTGGTCTGACTCAGTGGGATGCAATTCGTAGGCGCCCCCTACGACTCTGTCACACTGTCCAGATAGAGATACAACATTCAGATATCTTTATGCTCCGAACCGGCATTGCACCTTTCACGCACAATGCATCATCTTTGGCTGCCTGTCTGTTCCACCCGTCTGTCTGTCTGTCTGTTTGGAAAACTTTTGTGTTTTAGTTGGTTTTTTTTGTCTCCTTTTCGGTTTTTTTGTACAAGTTGATTGACATTTTCACAAGTTTTTGTCGTGTATTCGTAGTTGGTGGTTTGCAGGCCGTGCCCAAACCCAATCCCATTCCCAAACCTAAGCACAATCCACATCCCTCTGCTCACTTCAACATGCCCAACAACTTACTTTGAGTTGAGTTGCACAGTCTCGTCCTTTTGGGTCTTTGCCCACCGCTCCAAGGTGATTTGTTATATTTTTGGACAGCAGCAATTAATAGTAACAGGATGTGTATGTTTTTATTTTCAGCTTCCAGGCATTCACAACTACTCCTGTCCAGTGTCCCACATGGCAAGTGGCCGTATTTCACCTACTGATATTTGTATGTTATCTATCTTTTGTGGGAAAACTGGGCCTTTAAAGAAATGAGATTATAATTTTGTCGTAAGGATTGTAACACATTGATGGAGACGTATCTGATCCTATAAAGTATATATATTCTTCATCAACTTCACTAGCTGTGTCGATATATAATAGTCTGTCTGTCCTCATTTTTTACATGAATTTTTGTCTCCTCAGTGTTAAATTACTTGATGAAACTTGTCATTTATCCGAATTTTTGCTTCGGGTACAAAGTACGTTGAAATCGAGAAGATCAGACAGCTATAATGTCACATTATAGTTGCACAAATGTGGAGCATTCAGTTCAGTCGGTCGTAAAAACATTCAATTTCTTTAAAGACCTACACAAACATAAAAAGATTTCATCATATTAACTTCAATCTAATATGTTATGCAATCTTCGAAGTGTCCTCATTCCACTTTGTTTAAACAAATTAAATTCGAATTTATTTTCGAGTTGACAACTATATTAGGTTAAATGTGCTCTCCACGGTTGTTAACAATACTAATTAATGTATTGAATTAAATTACTTAAATAATATGCATAGTATATACTTATATCAGACAATTAATTTCGAGTAGTAATATAGGCTATTGAAAGTTGAGGTTATTTAAGTAAATATTGATAAGTGCTTGATAAGTAAGGAGGGGTATAAAACTGAATTAGTAATTAGATTGCCTACTCGTGGTTTTATAGTGTGCATGTTAATGTATAATAAATATAAAATTGAAATAAGGAAAATTTCACAGATTTCTTAAAGTTAATGATCAATGAAGAGAATTTTCCACTGCTTGGTTTTTAATTTACTACAAATTGCGAATAGAAGGATATATCGTTAAACTTTCAAAAAGAGCAACGTTCTCCACAGAGAAATTTGAAAGGCTGTGCGGTGCTTGACTTAGATAAGTATTAATGGTCTTAGTATTTTAATGAATGTATCATATCTAAAAAAGAGTTCATGTTAAATAAAATCACTGGTTTCAATTCGTTTAAAGATACATTAGTAGTTGAATCATAAACTATTTGGATATACTCATGAGTAACAATATGTTATCTTCCTTATGTGATTGTAAATACATCCTTACTTTATTTCTTAATCCTGAATTTATATTTAAGCTAATTAGTTTAGCTGTCTAATCAAAACAGATTGCTTAAAGTTTGATTTCAACTGATTGTTTTGTCATTAAATAAAAGAAGCTTTGTACAATTTGAATCGCATAGTCCTCTCTCAAGAGTTTGAAGGCTCGTCCAGTATGTTAATCAAATTATAGTTGTAATTATAATATATAATGTATAATGTATAACACACTAGTTACACCTTGGTAAGCCAACTCATTAATGACTGGCTAATGAATGCTATTGACGCCGTCGGAAGTATGACATATGGATTTGATGGGTACTTTAAAAGGCGTCAATGGTCAGGCGACAATCGACTGATATTTCGTCTAAGTCCATTACAATTGCTCCACAAAAAGTGACCAAACTGATGACGCCAGCGGGTGGGGGGGATGGCGGATGGGAGATGGGGGCGCCAGCCATGTGGCTGACACCTCGTTACAAAGCGACTTTGAAAGTTGTTGTAACTCCCAGTGGCAGCTGGCCGTGTCCAACTCGGGTTGGAGAAGTGACGAGTAACAGTAACAGGCGTAATTGGCGCTGCACAAATTGATGGATTGCTTGGCGCCGACTGTCGCAGCTCTGAGTCCGAGTTCGAGTTCGACTCCGTCACATTGGCGGTATTTTATAGTTTTCTTTTATATTTTTGGGTAAATCGATATCTGTGCCATTTTTTGTGCAGCTTTTGACATTTGTTTTTCTATAATGATTTATTAATTGTACATACTTATCGGGCTTTACTGTACCCTGTACTTGCCTGTTGCATTGTCAGACGCAGACTGCGACGGCGACGTCGACGCAGACGCAGACGCAGACACAGACGGAGCCTGTCGCCAAAATGTTAACTGGACTTCAACTAAGCCTCTTCTAATTGAATATGTAATTACATGTCGGCCAGACGTTCTCATTGTGTATTTTTTGTTAATATGATTTTAAGCTTATTATTGCTCAAAATATTTAATTGGGACATAAATTCATCACAACTAAATCGCTTCAGAGTGCAGCCAAAGAATTGTTTTTCTATGCACAAAATCACAATGCACTTTCCAATGATTGATAGAGATTTACAAACATTTTGTGTTATAAATTAATTTAGGGCAGTCTTACAAACGATTCTCTACATCTTTTTTGTGCTGTGTATGTATGCGCACATGTTGAACTGAATTCTAAAAAGGTTTTCGTGGAAGACATGTATTCTTGTCTCTTATAGCAGGGAATAAAGTATTTATGCAAAACCAAAATATAATCTATTATGATTATTATTTACAGAAACTGGAGAAACACGAAGGTCAAGCTGGCGAATGTCTGATTGCAACATATTCATCCTTAACGAGTCTCTACCTTGCCATTGGACTTACTCGACCGATGTCAAAACCTCGGGTATAAAACCTTCTTCAGTACGAATAAAATTTAATAATTAAATACAAAAAGACAGCTTTTAAATATCCATTAAGCTATTGGTGCTATGTTATTTAAAATATTATAAATTGCAACCTAATAAATTGATAAAGACACCTTGCGATTGCCTGGTGTTGAGCTGCATGAAGTAACGTTTGAAAGTAAGTCAATAAAATATATACATTTCAACAGTTATTATGTGTATATATGTATCTGGTATATCGAATGGCTTACCAATATTTTCGTATAGGTGGACAAAATTTCGTAAAGGAATTGGGATTTTACATTAATTTTAATCTAAACCACGTTTTATATATTGTAATCAATATTATTAAATATTAGAAATATTGATAAGGTTCTTGTAAAACTCATCTGAAGCTAAATCTCATTTTTCCGATTTTTTCTCACCCTTCGATGCATTATATAAATATTATCTACAAAATAGAATCGACTTAAAGAGAGTTGTATAATTTATAAAATTTAATCCAACAAACAACATTTTGGTCCGAGTTATAGAGATATGAGTTTGGAGTTATGGATAATTTTGTAGAATTTTGTTAGGGGAAAATTTGAGTTAGACACATTTGCCTGCATATGTACATATATAAGTGCAATATGTATAAAAAAGTAACGCTATCTTATCGTAGATTGCAAAATGGCTTTTTTTTTATCGAATTAAGTGGTTCCCAGGCATTGTAATTTACCCTTTGCTGCATTAGGCATGAAAAATATAGAGTTTATCTACAATTATAGTTATCTTAATTTGAGTTAGTCTAAAAGTAACTAACTCGCCGCTAAATAAATGTATTTGGTTATTATTATGTTTACATTGTCAATAGATGTACAAATGACCTTGGCTTATTGTAATGCAAATTTATGAAAAGCCATCACGCTTAAAATAAAGCCAAACACTTTAATACGAGGGCGATTCACGAGTTTCTTTCATTTTGCACGCGGATAAGGTAAGAGCGAGACAACTAGAGATACACCTCTTATCCGCTACTGAAGTGAAATAAGCCAATGGGAATGGAGACGGTGTGGCGCAGACACCGATTGGGTTCCCGCACAACCCCTGTTTGTTTGTCTCAGGGCAGCTGCATTAAGGGGACCGAAATGAAATCCCATATGCTCTTATGCTGCAGTTAACTCATCAGTTGCCAAACTTGTACAGATGCTAACCGAGGATAAAAAGAGCGTGTTGTTACACAAATTCAATTACCGGACATAAAAATGCTGCCAACATGGCGGAGAACATGAAACATGGCAGCATATCGGAATAAATTATACGAAGTTTCACTCAAAAATTTGTTGATGTGAATCAATGTTACAAAAATGATATCGTATCTCAGGAATAGAGCAGAGGGTAAGTGCTGTGAAAAGAACTGGAGAAAATCGGTCTACATAAACCAAAATTTAAACTAATGAAACAGCATTGTGAGTGGTAATAACATAAATATATGTTTGAGGTACTAAATTATAATAAATATGTTTGGTTGCTCGAGGACGATGCAATCTAAACAAAGCAATACAAATAAATGTACATGAGATTGGTAATTGGTTTATGTTATACAACATAAATAATATGTGTCCCTATATGTGTCATAATCTGGATGCAAACATTAAAACTACAAATTAAAACAAGATTTTGTATATACTCTCATACCCCTTCGATGCGCTTCTTAAAGTAGGTAGATACTTGAAATTATTTGTACTTCATATAATATATTTGTATATTCTTGTGTTATTCCACTCTTTTTCTATGTGTTTGTTGCGCCATCTATGGGACGTACTAAACAATTACACATTGTATGGCATACTTTTAGGATCAAAACAATAAATAAATAAAGTTGAGGTTGGCATATTTAGTCTGAAAAGAGGTATAGGCTTTGTTGAGTCAAGGAGATCATACGGGGGATGTTTTCGCTTGGAATTAAAATCAATTAAATACTTTCAAGGGCCACGGATTAAAAATTATTATTTTTCGAAAAACATATATACCAAAAATCATGTGAGAGTTACGAGTTACTTATGGACTTAAGAGCCTATCAGAAAACCATTCACCAAAACAAATAAATAAATACAAAAATGTATTTCTTTGTTGTTTTTCCTTTCTGTAATTTAAAATGCAACTATATTGGTACACCGAATGTTGCTAAGGTGACAGCAGCATCATTTCACGTTGCCTCGTTGTAAGTGGCAATTACAAGACCAAGCTACTCCAAAAACCTGTCGATGGTTGATAAACTCGTTGAGATCGTCTCCAATTAGGCGCGAGCCTGGAGGTCTGGCGAGCAGCAGCCAAATTTGACCTTGAAGTGTTTATCAGCTCACAGGACGGTAACTGGTATTGTGGCACTCAAGTGTGGCATTGGGTTAGTGTGCGCTTGACCTGGGTCCAGTGTTCGCGTGGCCTATATAAAGCGTCTGGCGATCTGAAGAGCAGTTGTGTCAGCTCAGCTCAGCTATCAACAGGACAAAACGTTGAATATTCTCTGCTCAAGTGCTAACTATGTTTACCAAGGTAAGAGATTATATTTGCTAACTATGAAATGTACAGAATAATAATAATTCCACAAATAGATTTTTTTGTTTGCCACATTGATTGCTGTTTCCAGCGCTGGATTGCTGCCCAATCGGGCGGTAAGCAGTGAAGACACCTTCGATGCGCATCCTCGCTACTCCTTTGGCTATGATGTACAAGATGCGGTTAGTGGAGATGTCAAGTCCCAGAAGGAAACACGTGACGGCGACATGGTAAAGGGTCAATACTCATTGAATGATGCGGATGGGTATCGACGCATTGTGGACTATACAGCCGATGCTAAGCATGGCTTCAGTGCAGTGGTGCGACGTGAACCACTTTCTGCTGCGGCTCTCGTCCCAGTCGTGGCTAAGCAGGTAAAAATACCTGTACTTGCGGCCAAGAAACAGCCCGTCCAACAAGTGCTCGTTAGAAACTATGCGACACCCACCGCTGTGATCCACCACGCGTCAGTGGCACATGTGGTTCAGGCTGCTCCAGCCCCCACCTATGTTTCCCATCACGTGCCAGCGCTGTTGAAATCACCGATACACGTTGCACATCCACAAACCGTTTCGTATGTGTTCCAACACTAAAGGGAGAGGCAAAGTCTGATGTCATAATAAATAACTGTTTTATGTTTTTGTATTCAAATAAATTCGATGTTAATGTGAATTGATAGAAAGTATTTTAGTGATAAGTTTTAAGCTTTTTGAATATTACTTATTTTTGTATCCATATATATGTGACCCAAACCCTACGCACATCTAAAAGGAACTCTGAATCTCTGCAAATTTTAGAATTGTAGTCACGTAATGGTATCTGTTGTAAAGAATCTTCTTCAACTAATAAACCACGAATCCTTGTTTATAATTGACTCTGCGTCTAAGCAACTGTTAACTGTTTTGTCGCTTTGAACAGAGCATTACACAGTCGCGAACTTCCATCTTCCCACTGGATACTTTTTTTTTTGGTTTGTAGGAAATATGAACAACAATTAAGTACATATTACTTTTTGAGTATAATATCTAAAACTCTCTATTCAAAGCTTCCTATTTATAAGAAGTATTACAAACATTTTTGTATTAGAATTCAGACTATTTGAAAAGAAATAATCCTGTTAAAGAGCGAACTGTGAGTATTCGGGTATTGAATTGTGTTTGAAAATGCCTTCAGAAATAAGAATTATAATGAGCGTAGCGTAATCAAAATTACGTCTATGTACAGTTGATCGCCATATCTTGTGCAAGTTTCAGGTTACGTTTCTACGTTTAATGAGAGGGGTCCCTCGTCGGAAGTTGGAAGGTGGCGACAACAAAAACACGCATTTCAAATCCAATTAGAGCTTAAATGGAGCGCCAGCACCTAATACTCATACAATTTTAAGGTCGTGTCTGGCTGATCATGTGGGGAGGGGGTACACCTGGGACAGGTATGTGTCTGTGTGTGTGTGTGTGTGCATGCAAGTGCACGGCAGTCAATTTGAAAAACCGTTGTTATGCATTTGCGCATGCGCTGCATACGTTATTATTCATAATGGAACTGTGTGTGCGAGGTGTGTGTGTGTGTGTGTGTGTATTTGTTGTGTGTGTGTTTTTCGAAAGCGAAAACAAATGAGCGATCGCATCGAATTAGTGGCTCATAGTAGACGACGCTTGAGTATGCGACTTCTGAGTATCTGAGGCCAATATTAATTCGGCTCGAGTGGGACCAATTCAATCAAGAAGGCATTATGCCTTTATCGTTGTGGTTGCTGCTGTTGCTGTTGTTGTCATCGTCATTGCTGCTGTTGCCTTTGTCACTTGTGCGCTTAGCCTTGGTTAATAATGTGCTTGGGACGATCGGCTGGCTGACCGCCCGTCCGCCCTCCTTCTACTGTTTCTGTTTCTCCTCCCACCGACCACCACCTACACGTTCGGTTCGGTGCTTCTAGTCTTACTCGTCTGGTATTTTAGTATTGGTATTTTGTGTTTTGTATTTTGGTATTGTCGCCAACGTTTTGTGACGCAAGTGCAAGCATTTGCTTACGAATTCGGGCACATCGCCTCGAGCGAGGTATAAAAGCCGCAGTTCGACTGTGTTAAAATCAGTTCAACACCAATTACGGTATCTAGAGCAACCCAAGTAAACCAAACAAACAATGGCATTCAAAGTAAGCCATCCCATCCTCCCCTTGCCATCAAAAAAACAAAAATATATCGCCAAATAGATGAAACTAAGAACTGGTGTCCTTAGAGACGTGCTCAAGTGGAATAAGTGAATTAAACGTGTGTTCCGTATTCTTGCAGTTCACCATCCTCTTCGCCGCCTGCATCGCCGTGGCCAGCGCTGGTGTTGTCCCCGTCGCCGCACCCTTGGCCGCCGTTGCCCAGGTGGAGGAATACGACCCTCATCCCCAATACACCTACGGATATGATGTTAAGGATGCGCTTTCCGGTGACTCCAAGACCCAGGTGGAGACCCGTGATGGTGACGTGGTCCAGGGCCAGTACTCGCTGAACGATGCCGATGGCTACCGTCGCATTGTGGATTACACAGCCGATCCCATCAACGGCTTCAATGCTGTGGTGCGCCGTGAACCTTTGGTCGCCGCTGTTGCCGCTGCTCCCGTCGTTGCCGCACCGGCACCAGTTGTGCACGCCGCTCCCCTCGCGGCTGCTGCTCCTTTCGCCTACGCAGCTGCCCCGGCACCAATTGTGAAGGCCGCTCCTCTGGTCGCCGCTGGCCCAGCCATCGTCAAGACGCAGTTCGCCTCTCCACTTATCTCGTACGCCTATTAGATGACAAATAGGTGCCGCCCGACCTGATAATTGCCGTTAGTTGTTATTGAATAAAGAATGTGATGTCATAGAACAATTGCGATTTTTCCTCATTTGAAATTACACTTTGGAATACAAATTGATTAATAATATTAATAAAGAATGGGAATTTCTATAGAATTAGAAATGGAAATTTTAAGTAGGCATTAAGGGCTTTCCAGAATTCTCTGATTCTCCTGTACAAGGTGACTGGATACCTTAAAAATATTTCACGGAAGCCTAAGCCAAAATGGGACTGGCTCAACTAAAAGTAATCACAAGCAATTGAAAATGAAAAATACTTCCAAAGAAATTAAAAAACATTACATGCACAATCTGAGTGAATTAACTTTCCCTCGCCAGTGTTTACAAATTTCAAGGTCGTGTTCACCAATGCACCACATTAAAGAGCCAACAAAGAATCAACCGAAAGCAAAATCAAAAACAAGTTAAACATTGTAAATGTAAACATTCATATGATTCACGGCAGCAATCACGTGAGAAACCAAAAAAAAAAAACAAAAACAACAAAAAAACTTATTCACCGTGTGTTGGCCGAGAACGCGACTTGCGGCTAAAACGGTAAAGCCAAAACAAGTTGCAAGTAACTTTGTTTTTGTGTTTTGTGTTGCCAGTTGGTGGATCATTAATAACTTTTTGTTAAAAAATGACTGCGAATTGATTACAATCAATCAAATTAATTTTTGCTTAAGATAGTTTAGCAAGGAAGGGCATCATATATAAAAGAGCGTTTTTAACATATTTTGTTGTTTTTAATATTTAAAAAAAAAAAATAATAATAAAAGTAAATTTGATTAGATTTGTTGAACTTTTAAATATGCAAATTTTCACAAACTCTTTGTCTTATAAATTATAAGTAGCAAAGAAGAATCTACCAATTTTTTTCTTTATTAAGAAATTAAATAAAAATTTTTTGAGATTCGTTTTGAGTTAAAAATTAATTAAAAAAAAATGAATTTTCAGATTTTTGTATTTCCCATAATTTCTCGTGTAATAAATAAATTTGAATACGAATATTTCAGGCTTCTTTTATTCCAAAATTAAACAAAATTAATTTTAATTATTTTTTTTTTTAATTTTGCATTTAAATTTGAATTTTAAAAATATTATATTTACATGAATTTTCAGAGTTGTTAGATTTCCCACATATGTAGCATAGTTTCCTGTGTAATACATTGCGTTGCAATTTGTGTTCGTGGTGGAAAGACGCCCAATAATTATGCTCAGTGTTGGTTTTTACGCGCATTGTTTAACTCGCCTTGTGGTTTTATGGGCCACCTCGACTGGGGCTATGCGCTTGCGCATTTGTGTTGCCAGATAGCAACGGTTTGCTACTGTAACTGTTATGGCTAACCGAAATACTCGGCTGTTTTTTTTTATTAGTTAGCGGCTACTGCTGAAAGTACCCGCGCTTCAGGCTTGTGGGAACTAGCGCGAGACACGAACATGTCATCGGGTAGCTGTGGCTGGACAAATTTCAAGTGTTGCTCATACGAGGTAATTAACCATAAAACCTGACTTTGACCTTAACACTCGAAATCGCTGGTCACTTGTCGCCAGCTGCATGTGGAGGACAAGCGAGGCGGGCCATGCCTTGGCATATTTGGATGTATGGAACAGATGTTAAGGTAAAAGTCAAAGAGCTGTGGCCTGTTCCTTATCTGGTCGTTACTATCTTGTCGATAAGACAATGGCAGCGATTTAAGACAATATTGGCATATAAATCATTCTGTAATACACATTCGCAGCTTTGGGCGTTGCTGCATTTGGCGAAAGGCCCAAAACCAAAACTCTGACCTTAACTTGTTTGCTGGCAATCGTATTGAATTTTGAATATGGGGTTTGCATGTGCATTACTTACATGCATGCACGATGTTTTCAATGATATTCGAATACGTCAATACGCATCAATTTGCGGTGATTGGTGTAAATGTAAACGGCACCAGGCAGATGGTAAATGTGGGTAGTTCAATTTGCTATAATGAGTTGGAAGCGTGCAATCTGCCTCAGAGCTGTCCGAAATTGATTTAAAGTATAGAGTTGCTAGTGCATCAAAGTAGTTACGCACCGAGATCTTTCAGTTGCTATAATGGAGATGTAAATTGATGTTGTTGAATACGTGATTTTGTAATCATGTTTGGGAAATGCGGAATCTTCCAAAACAAATGAGGATGGGAATAAAGCTGAGGCTTTATTACTTGAGTTATTTGTGTTGAAAATATGTAAAATATCAATACAACATTCCGATTACTAATAACAGGGAAATCGATACTGCGCTCGATACCCCAACTTAAGAATACATTGAATAAAAGTTCTTCTTAGTCTAACCGCCAAACCGAGTACATCACTTTGTCGCTTTAAAACCCAACAATTTCAAATTAACCATCTTTGCTGATTGGCTTAATCCTGCAATGATACTTATTTTTGTCCTTTATAAATCTCTTGCCAGGCATTGTCTGCAAAATATAGGTGTGAGTAAGCAAATATTAAAATTTGACAATCATACTTGATTAAATTCCTATCCACACAGAAACTCTGATTTTTTATAGGCTTAGAAATATGCAACAATTTATTCAATTTAGGGACATTAACATGGCTTCATCAAATAGCTGATTGTCGGTCCACTTAGTGGAGCTGATGGTAGGAAAGGGGCACTGGAGCGGCAGCAACAGTCTTGACAACGGTCTTCGCATGATCGAGGGGCACACGGTTGACAACAGCGTTGAAGCCATTGACTGGATCAGAGGTGTACTGAACGATGCGCTTGAAGCCATCGGCATCCACCAGCGAGTACTCGCCATGGACCACATCACCGTCGCGCTCCTCCACCTGGCTCTTGGAGTCACCGGAAAGGGCATCCTGCACATCATAGGCGAACTTGTACTGGGGATGGGGATCGTACTCATCGTCCTGCTTGGCCAGAACGGGCTGGGCATGGGCCACGGCCACTGGGCCATGAGCATAGGCGACAGCTGGAGCCGGTGCAGCATGATACACCTGCTGGACGGGCAGAACTCCGGCGCTGACGGCGGCAACGAGCGCAAGGATGGCAAAGAACTGAAAGTTGATGTACACACATAAAATAAAGGACTCAAGAATCCACTTTGAATGGTAGAGCTTACCTGGAAGGCCATGGCGAATGAGGTTGGGACGCTGTACGAATATCCAAATAGTGATACGAAAGCAGTGAAGCTGTGGAATGATTTGCAGACTGCACACCAATCCGTTTTTATACTCGAAGTGTAACGTACGATTTGAAATAATAATAAAAATATATATATTTTTTTTTCGCTTATTTACAATACAATTTTTGTCACTCGTATTTATTATTGCCGATTTATCGACTGCGCGCGTGGTAATTACGAATGGGCATACATAAGTATAAAATATATTTATGCAATAACTGCGACATGTAAATGTGTGCAGATTAGTGTCATAGGTAAGTGGTGTCCAACACACGAACCGACAACCACACAATCGTACTACAGCCACACCTTCTCCAATTGCTGCTGTTTGACCGCGGGCAATTTGTCTGTTTATCGCTTTCACAATTTCACCTTGACGGCTATATCGAATTAACTGCATAAAAATACTTACAACCTAATTGGATTGATTGGCCTTGCAAGTTGGGTGGCATATGGTTCAACAATGCCAATATTTCATATTTCAATATTTCAACGATGTGGAGATCTTATTCTTCAAATAAAGTAATTTTTGAAATATACTAAATTGCATTGTTTGTTAAATTATTTCCTAATAATTCGATTCCTAGAAGATGTCTAGTATTTAACTGCTTGTCCCTCTAACAAAAAAGATAAACAGCAATATTTTTTATAAAACATCACATTTATTTTCAAAGCCATAATATTGAAATCAAATCAATTCCAGTCAGCTTACAAGTTCCTCACGGCAAAAGCTGGCGCTGTATATCTCAGAGGAGCAGCCCTCAAAAGAGGAGCAGACACTGTAAGTGGGGCAGAGCGGACAATAGGTGCTGCAACGGCGACTGGAGCAGAGCGGACGATGGGCGCGGCGACGGCAAGTGGGGCAGAGCGGACGAGGGGCGCTGAAACGGCAACTGGAGCAGAGCGGACGAGGGGTGCTGCAACGGCAACGGGAGCTGCCTTCACCAGAGGTTCAGCAACGGCAACGAGGGGTTCACGGCGCACGACGGCATTGAAACCATTGATGGAATCGGCGGTGTAGGTAACGGTGCGTCTGAAGCCATCGGGATCGACCAGGGAGTATTCGCCGCGAACTACATCACCATCGCGCTCCTCTACATGACCCTTGGAGTCGCCGGAGAGAGTGTCCTGCACATCGTAGCTGTAGGAGTACTGGGGATGCGGGTCAACCTCCTCGAGCTCAACGGTCCTGGCCAGAACGGGTGCGGGTGCTACGGCAACGGGTGCCACAGTTCTCAGCACTGCCGCTTGGGCCACGGCGAGCATAGCGAGTGCGAATGCGATCTGTGAATGGTGAAGATGAGGGTATTGAGTTATCCAGCGTAATCCACAAAGAGGCAGCATGCCTTCTTATGTACCTTGTAAGCCATTTCGTTGGGTTTGGATTGGAGAGTTACTTGGTGTTGTCCTAAGCAGCAGCTGAACACTGAATGTCTGGCCGAGTGCTGGCCATAATGTTATATAGTCAACTCGGTGACATTGATGACACCTAATTCGAATTCATTTTTGGCGCTTCGCAACCACACATTGATAATATTGGTATTGAAAGTCCATTGAGGATGGATGATGTCGAATCTAGTCACGTATAATTGTCACGTACGTTCTTCAGTTCTCCAGGTCGAACACTCGTTTAAATCGTAATATTTCATTAAAAACCCATACTGCATATTATTTATATATGCTACTCTTTACCTTTGGCTAAGACCGTTTACAGTTATTGCATATATACCTTTGAAATTGATCGATTTTAGTATGCAAATTAATTTAATACGTATAAAATTGAATCGTAAAATATATACTTATATGAATTGAATATAAAAAGAAACGAATGGTTTCAAATTCAAAACATTTATTTACGGTTAAAATGTACAAGATAAAAAATTATTTTTGGAACAAATGAATAATATTAATAAATATGTATTAAAAATGTGTTAAATTATAGCCGCGGTCTCTATTATAGACAATGATTTAATGCTTGCGAATTGCTAACGGTTTGATTGACTTAAATATATTAATAAATACTTTTAATATGCCAATTTGTCGTGGTGATCGCAAGTTGAAACATTTGTATATTATATATACCACTGCAACTTTATGCAGCCTTACAACCGAAACCAGTTTCAGCACCCCCAATAAATTTGGTTTATTAAGATGACTACACATAAAGTATACAAAATATACATACATACATATACCATTATACAATGTACTCGGACTCAATGTTACATTTACCACACATATTTAGCATAAGTGAATTGCACTAATTACCCAACTTCGGCTACGAAGACGCAATCCCGATTCGGCAGTTAGTTGGTAGTGGGTCGCTCTATATAAGCCAACAGCAAGCAGCAGCAGCAGTCACAGTTCAATTCGCTCTCAGCTCTCAACAGTAGCCCAGCTCAAATCAGACACAATGGCATTCAAGGTACGACTTCGAGTTATTTGTTACATGCCATTTTCAAGCTCATATTTCACCCTTCGATATCCTTCCTAGTTCGTCGCATTCTTCGCTCTCATCGCTGCCGCCAGTGCCGGTCTCCTGCCCGCCGCTCCGGTCTACCATGCCGCACCCGCTCCGGTCTACCATGCCGCACCCGCTGTGGCCCACTACGCCGCACCGGCTGCCGTCGCCCAGCATGTGATCACCAAGGCTGCCGAGGAATACGATCCTCATCCCCAGTACAAATTTGCCTACGATGTGCAGGATTCCCTCTCTGGTGACTCCAAGAGCCAGGTGGAGGAGCGCGATGGTGATGTGGTCCGTGGCGAGTACTCGCTGATCGATGCCGATGGCTACAAGCGCACCGTCCAGTACACCGCCGATTCCATCAACGGTTTCAATGCTGTGGTCAACCGTGAACCCCTCAACATTGTGAAGACCGTTGCCGCCGCCCCCGTTGCCCATTATGCCGCCCCCGCTGTGGTAAAGACTGTGGCTCCAGTTGCCCACTATGCTGCTCCAGCTGCTGTTTACCATCATTAATTTTGTTATATCTCGCACTGATTCGTTATACTTAGTTTAATATTGAAAAATAAATGTTAAAGTGATTTTAAAAACATTATTTTTAATTTCAAACAGGATACGCTCTGAATATCAACAAGCGATTATGCCCACATTCCCCGTTGAAATGCTTTAAACTCAAACTGTTGCCAACTAAATTTGGTGCGACATTGAAATACCAAAGTCAAGTTACAACTCCATTTGGTACACTTCCGAGCAATCGCCATGAAAATTAACTAATCCGATCAACAAACAATGTATCATTTCTTGTAGCTAACTGATTTCAATCTTCACTTTAGTAAACATATCTTTATTGTTTTACTTAGTTTCTTAGTGCACTTATAGCTGATTTCTAGCCAGCGGCAGCCAACTTAATTCCGGTTGGTGTTTTGACATCAAAGTCAATTTAGATTTGACACCTTGTTGGCGAGTTGAGCATTTCTTAATTCCGTTCCAAACATGACTCGCTCGATTTGATTGAAACTGGTTTGGCACTGGCCAGACACACGCCAGACCACTGAGATCAAAGGTTCTATTATCGCTATTATTTATAGTTGCATAATTGTGATTGATAATGGGATTGAAACTGTCTTTTAATTATTTAAAAAAACGGTATTTTAATTGACGCTGCTAGCTTAGATAATGGAATTGAAATTTAAAGGTCAAAGACTTTTCTTAATTAGTTTATGGATTTTATTATTATTGGGTGTTTCCGTGAACTGCGACCTACTCAGATCTATTATGTCCATCAATCCAGATTTTTGCACGAAACTGGCCAATGCAATTGATATATTCTGAGACCTAAGCCATATCACGAAATATGATAAAGACTGTGAGATCTTGGCATATACATCCTACGAACCGTGAAGATCGACGTAAGCAAAATATACAGTTGAAGTTGATGACTTAACAAGTCGCTTTGCACCATTAATCTCAAATATTATGTAAAGGTAAACGAATTAAAATTTATTTAAAATTGGCAAGGTGAATTGCAATCAGTTTCAGTCAACACATATAACAAAATGGCATTTTTTAGTGATGGGCGGCATAGGTGGTGTAAGCCGGAGCAACGGTCTTCACAACAGCTGGTGCTGCATATGTGGCATAGTGTGGAGCAGGTGCGGCATAGTGGGCAACTGGAGCCACAGTCTTTACCACAGCGGGGGCAGCATAGTGAGCCACAGCTGGGGCGGCATAATGGGCAACGGGAGCGGCGGCAACGGCCTTGACGAGAGGTTCACGGTTGACCACAGCGTTGAAACCGTTGATGGGATCGGCGGTGTACTGGACGGTGCGCTTGTAACCATCGGCATCGATCAGCGAGTACTCGCCACGGACCACATCACCATCGCGCTCTTCCACCTGGCTCTTGGAGTCACCAGAGAGGGAATCCTGCACATCGTAGGCGAACTTGTACTGGGGATGAGGATCGTATTCCTCGGCAGCCTTGGTGATCACATGCTGGGCGACGGCAGCCGGTGCGGCGTAGTGGGCCACAGCGGGTGCGGCATGGTAGACCGGAGCGGGTGCTGCGTAGTGGGCCACAGCGGGTCCGGCATGGTAGACCGGAGCGGCGGGCAGGAGACCGGCACTAGCGGCAGCGATGAGGGCGAAGAATGCGATAAACTAAAAAGGGACAGAATGGGAGACATATAGTAATATGGCCTGTTTCTATTCGTAAGGTGCTCTAAATACCATACCTTGAATGCCATTTTGAAGAGCTTGGTGTGCGACTTGAGGACTGAAAGCTTATGTTGTCGGATGAAGCTAAGTTTGCAGTATGATTAGAAATTGAGCAGACTGTGGTTTATATAGAGCAAACAGCGCTTGGGCAGCAAGTGCATTTGCCCCGAGGTTGTGCGTTTGTTGCGGCTGCTCATTATTATTAAGCAAATTACACACACCACAAGCCACACTGTAGGCAAAGGGTAGCGAAAGGCCGAGTGCAGGGCGAACGCATTACTTGAAGCATTTGTGTGAGGAATGTGGAGCAAATTGGGTCTTGTCTGGCAATTGGACATACTATTGCTCATGCTCATGGACGCGTGTACCGTCGAGGTTCCGGACTCAGATCTACCTCACCATCGCACACGAGTACGCAGTACTCAAAATCTGCCAGCGGCTATTTGACATTCAATTAGTGTGCGCGACATTACAATTGCAAAAAAGTGCCATTGTTGCTACCGGATACTTTTTGCATGCCAAACCGGTTAGATCAAATGCGAAAAAAAAAAACAAACTAAAATATATCGTTTTTTATATATTTATCTAAATTACATACCGCATAGATTAGTGTATGCTCTGATTGTTGACTTTTAATGCCCATCAGGGAAATACCCAACTATTTCAATCCCAATTTAATTAAGTTTGAGACCTTTAAATATTTACTGACATAAAAATTATAAAACGTTGTTTATAATTGGCTAATGTTAAAAACTAATTCGATTTTTCCAGGGACCAGGGAATGCATTTATGTGCGAACAGTTGAATTTGGATTAGGATGTTTTGTCATAGCCGAAAAGCGGATTTTCTAAAGAAAAAAACGTTTTAAAATAGTTTCAATACAATAATCACATATATCGACCTACTAAATAATTTTTATATAACCTACTAAATAATAGTTCATTTCATTTATATAGTTATTTGATATAAATTAAATATGGTCCTTGTGGCCTTTAATTTGTACATAGTTCTTTAGCTCTACACATTTGCTTTAAGATTTCATAACTGATGATCCTTTTGCTGACTAAAATTAAAATGTTAATGTTAAATATATATTTTTACCAAAGTTGTTTGCTGAATTTGTCTAAGATTTCATTCAAAGTAGATATTTCAAGTACCACCCTAATTTAATTTAGGATCTCAATTAATATTCTGAAATACATTGATGCAAATAAAAACTCAGAAAGTTGGGTAAAGGTCATCAGACTATATGCCAATCAGGACAATATAATTTAAATGAATATATTTTTATTTGCATTTGTGGGTCATATTAAAATCATTTAGAATTGGTCAGAAGTGGATCCAGCCAATCCAACACTTTCCACAGTATCCATTAATTCAGCAGTAGTCACCTAGTTCTTTCATAAAAGCCAGTCTAAGTTCGGCATGCAAATATGAAACCCGTAGTGTATGAGTAATCTTGGATAAATATTCGTGATGCATTAATACATTTATTAAAATATTTACAATAGAATTATGCAACAGAGCTTAAAGATCTAAATATGTTTAGCAATGAAAACGTGGAATGGAGAATGCATTAATACTTTCGTCGGCGCAGGTCGGAGCTCTAATGATGGTAGTAATTGTGGGCATCATGTGTGGCTGGAGCTTGTGCCTCATATGTGGTATAGTGTTGCTCGTGGTGCTGCTGGTGCTGGGGCTCGTGCTGGTGAACGTTGTAGGTGTGTGCCGGGGCCGCATAGGGCGCAACATAGGCAGGAGCAGAATAGGAGACGGGTGTCTTCAGCACAGATGTCGGTGCCGCATGGTGGTACTGCACAGGTGCGACTGGAGCAGCAGCAACCAGCTTGTGGTGTGTGTGGGTGAGGGGCTCGCGATGTACGACGGCATTGAAACCGTTGACTGAGTCAGCTGTGTACTTCACGGTGCGACGGAAACCATCAGCATCGTCCAGGGAGTACTCGCCTTGGACCACATCGCCGTCACGGGACTCCACCTGGCTCTTGGAGTCACCAGAGATGGCATCCTGCACATCATAGGCAAAATTGTACTTGGGATGGGGATCATCAGGATACACCTCATGGGCGTGGGCGTGTCCGTGGATGTCGTGAGGCTTCTGGTAGATCACATGTGCCTGCTGCTGGGGCACTGCAGCTTGATAAAGCTGGGGCTGCTCATGGTGTTCCACAGGAATAAGGCCAGCCGAGACGGCAGCAATGAGGGAGACGAGTGCGACGAACTGCAGCAAGCAGGACTTAGTAAGCGAACGTTTAATAATAGGGATTATTCAGTGTTTACCTTGAAAGCCATTTTGCAGATTATGAGGGATTTGTGAGACTGGAACTAAGCTGTGGACGCTGTGTACTCCTTCTGTGGAAGTCCGTGCTATGAATAATAATTGAGCTCAATTGCATTTGTATTTATAGACGAAATTTCGTTGAGCACCTTGGCCAGCGTTTTTTTCCATTGTTTTTTGGCTTTTCTTTCACTTTTTCGTAAGTTTTACATAAATAATTTGAATTTTAATTCATTTGCATGCCGCTCTTTGTATTTGATTTTTTTTCTCAGTTACCGAACGGGTCGGCGCTCGATCGATTAGAGATTTGCACCCACGAGTCACACCCATGTGGCCAACTGGCGCTCGTACCATTGCCATTGTTATGAATGGAAGACGGACACCGTACGAAATAGCCAACAAATAGGCAAACAAAAAAGAGGAAAGAAAACAAAAAATATACGCAGCTAACAAAAGACTCAGGCGAGCAACTTGGTTTCGATAGCTGGAGGTGTCGGGGTCGGGTTTTGGGTTTGGGTTGGTTTGGGGCTTGCGGGCTCGAAACATGTAAGTAACCTAATAAAGACAACTTGATCGATGCCAGCATTGCACTTGACACACACTCACACACCCCCCCACCAGCTGTCCAGCTTTCGAACTGCAATGACCTAAAAAAAACTATAAATAATATCAAAGGAAAAAACAAAACTGGCTACTCAGCAAAACTACAAGTGCCAGACCCATGCCAAAGACGCTCAACTTGTTGTCAGACATGTAATGTCTGAGCTTTCAGGTTGAAGCTTTTTCTCCACTCGGTGTTTCGTTCACTATCGACTTATGGCATAAGTGCTCAATCATGCACCCATAAACTTACACACACACACACACACACGTACATATAGCGAGTGACTTAACTCTTTGCAAAATGATGTAATGTTGCGCTGGTCGGAATTCAATTTTAAAGAATTTCATTTGAGGTCATTTCTAGGCTAGAAAGTAAAAATAGTTTTAGAAAAATTCCAATGATTAATAAAGCCTGGTATGACTGACAATTTGAATTTGGACAGAAGAATTAGAAACAAAATGGATTGTTTCCAAAGAAAAGTTAATTATAAAATGATTTAAAGATAACTTAATTATAAAATGAAATATTTACATTTGAAAGATAATTTTTCCTTCTTCGTATATAACTAATACGATTTCGGCCATGTACTTTTGATACCCTAAGTCAGAATTCAATGACCTGAGAGACTTTCAATTTCAATTTCAATTTATTTAATTGTTTTGTTTTTTGTTGGCTGTCTAGATAATGGAATAATTAAAAAACTTACTTGCGTTTGAATAAGGTTCAATCTCGTTACCCAACCCAACACAACGGTAATAGAACTTTTGATCTCTTTCGACTGACGTACTTGTGGCCAGCGCTAAACCAGTTCCATTAAAATAGACCGAGTCATCGTTTGGAAAGGAATGGGAAATGCCGATGCCGGCAACATTTTGCTAAATATAAATAAACCTAAAATACCAACCGGAATCGCAATTATTCAATGGTCTGATATTTATCTACACGTATGTATCTTTCAGATGAATTCCCCGTGAAGCTACATAAAAACACGGAGATAACCACAGTCACTGCTTGTTATAAATTGTATTGATACATTGTTTGTTGATAGGATTAGTTAATTTTCATGGTGATTGTTAGGAAGTGTAACAAATGGTGCCGTAATTGAAAACTCTACTTGACTTTGGAATTTCAATGTCGCACCACATTTAATTGGCAACAGTTTTGGCTGAAAGCAAATTTGGTTTATTGTGTGGGCGTAATCGGTTAATGATATTTCCAGACTGATTGCATGGAAGATCCTGGTAGTACTTGAAGCATTAAAAGTAGAATAACAAAATGTATAATTTGTTTTTGCAAAATTTCAAATATGCGTTATTTTATTTTAGATGTCAATAAATAAAGGTACAGCAATATGCGCAAGAATTCTATAAAAGTGTATAACAAATTAGTGATGGTATGCAACAGACGGAGCGGAGTAAGTGGCGTAGTGAGCAGCTGGAGCAGCATAGTGGGCAGCTGGGGCGGCATAGGTAGAGTAAGCCGGGGCGACAGTCTTCACCACTGCAGGGGCAGCATAGTGAGCAACTGGAGCTGGAGCTGCGTAGTGGGCAACTGGAGCAACGGTCTTGACAACAGCGGGGGCAGCATAGTGAACTGCAGGGGCAGCATAGTGGACAGCTGGGGCAGCATAGTGGGCAACTGGAGCCACAGTCTTGACAACAGCTGGGGCGGCATAGTGGGCAACGGGAGCGGCGGCAATGGTCTTCACAACGCTTAGGGGTTCACGGTTAACCACAGCGTTGAAACCGTTGATGGGATCGGCGGTGTACTGGACGGTGCGCTTGTAACCATCGGCATCGATCAGCGAGTACTCGCCACGGACCACATCACCATCGCGCTCCTCCACCTGACCCTTGGAGTCACCGGTCAGCTTGTCATCGACTCCGTAGGAGAAACGGTACTGGGGATGGGGATCATAGGTCTCGTCGGACTTGACCACCACCTTGTGGGCCACAGCTACGGGGGCACCATAGGTGGCAACTGGAGCAGCTGCGTGATAGGCCTCGGGCACATAACCAGCGCTGGCGACGGCGACGAAAGCGAGTGCGAAAACAAACTGGAAAGCGACAAGATAATCCATTAATTCGCACATGCACATATATCCACCGTGCAGATCTACTTAAATTGAGCACTCACCTTGAAGGCCATTTTGCTGATTTTTTTGTTGGATTCGGTGGAGTTCTTTACAGAAGCAAGAGCGAATGTTGAATGATACTGCTTCTGGGCTGGCCAATGTATTTATAGGCCCCAGTCGACACTGTTTTCACTGATAGCCGAATTGGTTGAGTCTGCATAGCGGTAATCGTAAGGTGCTTACCTGTGGCCTTCTGCATATCATGTTCGAAATTAGCGCAGTCACCACGGTAACCAGTGGTAATCGAAGAGATTGTCAAGCTGCACAGCCAGCAGCAGGTGAAGCCGTAAAGGGTAAATTATTTAGAAAGGATTTGGGATTTCCTTTACGATCTCAAAAGTGATTCGAGCGAAGCTCACGTCCAAGCAAATTGCCCATCTTAAGCCAATTACAGCTGCTTACGAAGAAGATTAAAATGCTTATAGCTGAAAACTGTGGGCGTGCAGATATAGTAAGGATGCATATGTACTCAAAGACGTATCCTTGAAACACGTGTTAATATTCTTCAAGCTCACTGAGTATGACACGTTGACAAGTTGTTTACTTACACTGGACAATTTAAGTTATTATTTGTTGATAAGTAAATAATTTATATTTAAAATATAAGTCAAGCTTACCTATTCCTAGGTGCCGTAGCTCCTTGATTTTTGTCAGGAATTTTAAAATGATTTATTTAAATACCTACAACAATTTAGAATTTTATTTGGTATATTTTGATGCACAATTTCGATTTTGATTAATTGTTAAATTATATTGGCTCTTCTTCTATTAAAGTGATATTTATTTGAGGCAATTGGAATAAATATTCCAATAAGTATGGCACTTATTAGCCTTTTTACATTAATAAACCATTAAAGTTCCAAGCTAATCCTATACAAGATTAATTCTTAGCTGTATTTATTCATCATGTATTTTAGAGTTATAAGATTCTTATAGGATTTTAATTACAGAAATGCTCTAACAAAAAATAACCGTTATATCCGTTAAACTTTGCTAAACTTGGATATCAGGTTTGTGCGTATGTTGAATCATTCGCCGGCAATCTTTCTCTTTTTGGTTATGGTTCGTTCTCGGAGATCATAACGTGATTATTTGCACACCCACAGTACTTACCTTCGAACAGGAAGTACCAGTAATCGCCAGCCAACAATCAACGGCCAAATCATTAAATTTTTGCTGTCACCATGAAAATAAATCGCTCACTCAGCAGCAGCGCAGTCGCGTCGCCGATTTGCTATATAAGTTCAGGCTTACGCCCAGAAATGTATCATTCACAGATCAAGTTCACTTCTGTAAAGAACTCCAAAATAACAACAGCAAAATGGCCTTTAAGGTGAGTGCTACATTCAATTCGATCTGCACAATGGATACACGTGCGTATTAATGGATTATCTTGTCGCTTTCCAGTTTGTTTTCGCACTCGCTTTCGTCGCCGTCGCCAGCGCTGGTTATGTGCCCGAGGCCTATCACGCAGCTGCTCCAGTTGCCACCTATGGTGCTCCCGTAGCTGTGGCCCACAAGGTGGTGGTCAAGTCCGACGAGACCTATGATCCCCATCCCCAGTACCGTTTCTCCTACGGAGTCGATGACAAGCTGACCGGTGACTCCAAGAGCCAGGTGGAGGAGCGCGATGGTGATGTGGTCCGTGGCGAGTACTCGCTGATCGATGCCGATGGCTACAAGCGCACCGTCCAGTACACCGCCGATTCCATCAACGGTTTCAACGCTGTGGTTAACCGTGAACCCCTTAGCGTTGTGAAGACCATTGCCGCCGCTCCCGTTGCCCACTATGCCGCCCCAGCTGTTGTCAAGACTGTGGCTCCAGTTGCCCACTATGCTGCCCCATCTGTCCACTATGCTGCCCCAGCTGTCCACTATGCTGCCCCCGCTGTTGTCAAGACCGTTGCTCCAGTTGCCCACTACGCAGCTCCAGCTCCAGTTGCTCACTATGCTGCCCCCGCAGTGGTGAAGACTGTCGCCCCGGCTTACTCCACCTATGCCGCCCCAGCTGCCCACTATGCTGCTCCAGCTGCTCACTACGCCACTTACTCCGCTCCGTCCGTCTCCTACCATCACTAAATTGTTGATACTTCTTGTTTACACTCGTTTATTTAATCGTTGTTCATATTGCTGTACATTTATTTATTGACATCTACGAATAAATAATGCATACATGTATGTAAAATATCATGAAATATAATTTAATGGGCGTATTTTTGTAATAAACAAGACCTTAGCCGCAATTGAGATTTGAAGAAGTAACAGTTCACTTTTTCAATAGAAAGTATTGTCGAGGTTTTATTTGGCTAAAATAGACTTCTGTTAAGACAGACTTTAAATCACCTTATAGCCTATGGCGAAAGTCCTGTGTTGTGAGGTTTAACTGGGAAAAGATAAACAATAAATCAACTTAGTTTATATTAAAAAATCTTTATTGAGATTATAATGGAATTATGAGTAGATATTACTAGTAGTTTAGCAAACTTATTTATTGCCTATTTTTTCTAATGCGAATATATATCATATATATTTTCGATAAAAACTCTTTTATAGATGATTTCCTGTATTAATCGTTTTACTTCTACAAATAATTTATTCGAGTACCAGTTGATATTTTACTCAAAGTAATAATTGAAATATTCGCAACCCTTGGGTGCGAATTGAGCACTCACAGCACAATTTCAAATAAGCAATAATATTTATATGAATTGCATTTACCTGGACCGGCAATTCCAATTGCAGTTGTTGATAATTGGTAAGGTCGTTCACATGCTGAACACTATTATCCTGCTTGTGTGCCTTCTTCTTTTTTCTGTTGGGCAAGGAGTTCATAACTTGTTTGTCTGCCAGGCGAAACAACGGAAAAAAGTTCACAGACATTAAGCATAAAAGGACTTCAAAGTCGTTGTGTCTGGCGTCCGCAGGACTTTTGTTTTGTGAATTTCAGAATGCTTTAAGGATGTTTTGCAGCAGCTTTGCTTTCACTCGCATCCAGAGTGCAACGAACTTGGGAAGTTGCGACGTTGTCCTGCCTTAAGTTCGAGCCTGGTTGGTCAGGCTGTCTGCAGACGAACTCAAAGTTCCTGCCAGGCGAGCAGGGTGCGAGGCATGCATACTATTTGCAGATTGCATACTGAAGGGCGGGCAGGATTCTGCTATATGATGCTGGGGTCATGACTTCAATTTCAAATGATAAATACCCGTAAAGGGGCCTCTTGTTTTTTTTTTATTTTTGGTTGGATGGCGTAAATAACCACAATTATAGCGAATTGGAAGTAAACAACAAAATAAAACGCTCGTTTCCCACAATTGAAATCAATTGCAAGCATTCTAGATGGACTGCTACTGATACATATTTATGTATGTATGTATCTGTGGTAGATCTGTTGCACCTGTTGTTTGTTTGTATGTCAAAAAAGAACTATTCTGTTGGGGTAACCCAAGGTCGAGCGTTGTAAGCGGAGCTAGCCAACTGCTACATGGATCGTTGTTAGTCTGACCCCTGTTCGCAAGGGATATGAGCTTAAATCGGACTAATCAAGTGGAAGATTGCACGTTTTGAGGTGCACACACTTCGATATATCGACTGGGCTAGCGAACCCTTCTCAACTTCATCATCATCATTATTATCATCTGCCTTGACCAAAAGCACAACAACAATGCAAACTGACAATGCGAGCAGACCAAACAACAAAAGCAAAAACAAAAAAACAAAAAAAAGCAAAAATAAAAAGAATATAAAAACTAAAATGAAAATCTGAACAAAAAAATTTTAAAACCCGATCAAGTGAGTTAAAGGATCGCCGCGATGCTTTGGCAGGCAGAACGAAGCAGTCAAAAACAGGCTTTCGCCGATCGCAGTTCATATAAATAGCAGTGAGCTGCTCCTGGCCGGCTCATTCAGTGTTTTGTGCTGAGTCCAAGAGGTTGGGCCCACTCGGCTAGCAATCCAAGTGCCAAGTTCAGAGAAGCCACCATTTGGGTTTTCGTTAGCGCAGCCCAATTCAGAATGCAGTTATGTAAATTGTAATTAACAACAATAATAACAACACATTTGAATATATCAACCGGTTGTAACATGTCTGTATGTCTGTTAATTCCGTAGGACGATCACACTCTATCAGATCGCTAAGTGTCTGCTTCAGCTGCGCGGTGCACTCGCAACTCCAATGGAAATCGAGATTTGAGCTTCGGTCCGGTCCGCTCCCCGTCCCGCCTCCAATACTCGGCAGCAAAACACCAACAACTCTTTCGGCATCTTTGGCACTGCACATCTAAACATCATCCAGCACCTGGCAAAACAACACCGAATGATGACAACAATAAGCTGGCGGGAATTGGCACTCGATTGTTAGCCAGCCAGGCCATTTCGCATTTTGGCACTCATCACAAGGCATTGAATCGCACGGACCAGTTGGACGAACCCCCCCAAACACACTCTCTCTCTCGGCCCTTGAACAAAATTTACATTTGTGATTAAGTTTAGGTGTAACCAATAAACAAAAAGCAAAATACTACAATAGGCTACCAATTTGCTCATGTGTATTTACTTACAATTTACGCTTGCTTGGCTTGCAGCCGAATCGCACCCAATGGTTGTGAACAGTCATCTCAACCCAATATTATTGTTTGCCTTGTGCTGCTTACTAAATTGTACGCCGATTACATTTTCAGCCTGGTTTCGATACTTGGCTAAATTTTGATAACTACTCGGTTTTATTGATTTACCTATTGACGTAATTTGATCCTTGTGAGATAAAGTTGCTTTAGTTGCAGGTTCTAGCAAAATATACCAGAGATATAATTGCTTATCCTGAATTTATAAAAAATAGAAAATACTTATAAAAAATAAAACATATAAAATAGGCAAAAGACAGTATCTGGGATCCAAATATATATATATCGGAGAAGAAATACAGATTTCGTTAACCACCTTTCGACCTATTTCGACCTGAGTATTCTAATTTGCCTTCTTTTTCAATAATTAAATATTCAGAATTTGCTTATCAAAAATACTTTTTTTTTTTTTAAGTGTGATTGTGAGTAAAAGAACTGAGACCATTATTTATATTTCTCAAAATAATTTTGTATAAGTAAAATATTGTACCGTTTTATTTTTTGCAGTGTAGCCAAGCGAAATAGTTTAGTTAAATTGAGATCGCAGTGCGCAAAATGCGATTACAAAAATATGCATGAAAATGTTTAAATATATATCGTTATGATTGCCTTAAGAGTACAAACAGACACACACACACACACACACACACATACACACACACATAAACATGCAGCATACATAAATATAAGGCAAGTAGCTGAATGTGTACAATAATTTATGTATATCAAGGTCAGAGGGGCCCCCACAAAAGCCTATGACTGGAACTTATGGATCAAAAGAAATAAACCACATGTGTTAAGCACTGTGTGTGTGTGTGTGGTGCTGCCAAAAAGTAAGTTAAATGCAAACTGGTTTGTATTACTTTAATTGTTATTATTTCACTTGTTGTGCTGTTGGCCAGTTGCAAGTTGGCCTGCACAGGGCCGTTAAGGTTTGTTGCCAACAGCTCGAGCTGCCTGATTTTTGTAATTGTAATTGTTGAAATTTCACATATGCATAAGGCTAAACCTTAGCTATTTTTGACTAAGCGTTTTCAAATTTTCATTACATATTTGTCAACGTCATCGTCTTCGTCATCAGCCGGCGTTGGTAACGTGGCCAACACGGTACGGTAGCCCTTAAAATGTCTTACACAGTGTTAACGGCTATTTATTGTAATTTACCAGCTCCAAATACCAGTAACAAATATTCAGCTTAGCTACAAGAGCCAAAGCCAACGTGTTGACGTTTTGTTTGCCACACCCCCCCTAAATCAATTCAATAAAATATCTCGAATCTTTTTGTGTTTGTTTTTTTCTTTTAAATTCACAAGTCTAATTAATGTATATACAGCATTGGCCTTAGCCAAATAGGAGAGCAGTTATTTTTATCTAGCCTATGTTTTGCGGTCTCATTTCGCAAAATACATTTTTGATATTTGGCATTAACCAAAGTCGAGTGGGCCTTAATTTAATTAAACGGAGCAGGACACACTTTTGACCAGTTTAAATAAGAAAAAATTTATATAAATGTATAGATATCCATTGGGGATACTGATAATACAGACCCTGGCACATGCAAACAGCAGACAGTTGTGACATTGTTTAGGTTTTAGCCAGTACTCGACATGGACACGGAACTCGACGAGGATGTGGGATACGGATACCCAGCAGCAGGCAATTTTGACAAACACTCGGCTGGGTGATCAATCTTAAATTTTCACCGCTTCTGTCAGAATTGTGCGTAGCCGACGACAGGGGACTGGGACTGGGATTGGGATTGGGTTCGGTTTAGGGTTTGGGACAGGAAGAGCATGTGGCATCCTAGTATCTGAAATGTTGACAGCAAAACCCAAAAAAAAAAAAAAAAATGCTGCTGGTTGACGAATGGGCGCAGTTGCAGTCCTTAGGGACACAAACTGCGACCAATGACCAAATGAAGCATAAATGTCCGCACTTCAAAATTTCAATCAACTATTGAATATGATATTGCTTGGCATACAATTGTTAACTTTTCTAAGGCATTGCATCATTGGAATAATAATTCTCTTGAAATATGCATAGAACATCAATTTTAATGTTGTTGGTCGGTAGTTTTATAAATATATTGATTCTTACACCTTTAAAATGAGTATCGAAATTAACACTTGAATAGTTTTAGTGATACTTTTTATGCCCCGAATCCATTAAAAATGTAAGAAGGGTACAATGAATTTTGATAAAAGGTGTAACTAGCAGAATAAGCACGTTCGATCCAATAATGTATATATATTCTTAATCAGCTTCAATTCGGTTCGTTTTACCTATTTTCGTCTATCCGATTTTAGAGTATATTGAATTTTAAATAGATGTTCACGTATATCACACACAGATTAAATTTATTTAATATTATCGATAATTATCGATAATACAAATTGATTTCCGATTGCAATAAGAGACACAATTGTAAAGATATATATTAAACAAAGGCATTATTGATCAACTGTAAACATTTCTTAAGATCGAAAACGAAACACAGATCGAATAAGAAACATATATTCATTGTGAATAGACTACCATCAGTATTTTTCGAATTTTGGACAGCCTCTTAGTCGAGCTCTTTCGACTATAGAGTTGAAAATAGATTAAATAAAATCACAATAATTTAAAGACTTTGAATAATAGCGTTGAAGTCTTTGAGTATGTAACTTGCAACATATGTAAATATTTACTGAAATGCGCATATTTGAAAATTTTGATGGAATATCACTTTCAGCTGAAACCCAATGCCGCAGCCGATTTTTGCAAACTCTTTTCATATTACATGCACATACATTTTCGCAACTTTAAAATTGTTTCCATTTGCTCAAGATAATCCCACACACACATTCTTCACAACGGTAAATTTGGTTTAGTAGCCTTCAACACCCGAAACTCATCCATCATTAATTGTCAGTTGGTTTTCGCCAGAAAACATTTCTGTTTCTCTCCAAGTTGGGTATTAACTGAGAGAGGAAGAGGCAGTAAAGCAAGCAATGAGCAAAAACTATTGTGATATGAAATTGTATTGTTTTGTTTTGTTTTTTAAGATTTCAATTGCTCATCGGTTTTATCGTTAATTAATGTAATTTGCAGCTTACAACGACAATTGGTTAATATTTATTCATTTATTTCATTCATTCGTTATTTAGTGGCTAAATGTTTTTAAATTTAATTGTATTTGGAATTTACATTTACAACATACAAACATTACAAACATTGAATTTGATTGATTTTTCATTATCATTTCATTTTTGTGTTATTTATTTCATTTCATGAGAATATCATTTTTAATCATAATATTACATAATGGAAATTGTATTTGAATCGCAAACAGACAAATTTCACATATTGATTTGAGCTACTTTCGAATATTTACAAGAAACACAATTATATTTTTGATTTCTGTATTTGCCATTTAGTAAGTTTCGATTTATATATATTTAGTAGACTTATGTTGAATTACTTTTGATAAGGACTGGTGGAAATTTACGCTGAAATATGTTTAATGTTTAATTTTACTAGCTATATACAATTTGAACATTTTATAGATAATTTTCGAACGGAGAGAATTTACTTGCATCTTGTGTGTGTGTGTTTATTGGCTTTGAGCCAAAGTTGCAATTTTCCAAGAGAAGCCCTAATCTAGATCTCTAGTCTGTCTCGAAGTGACAAATAATTATAGATTAATGCATATTTCATTTATCACTCTACCTACTATATAAATATATATATATAGTATATATTTAATAAGACATACAAACATATTTACAGATATGTGCTACGACAAAGTGCTTACACACACACACACACACACGCACACTCAGACAAAATTCGACTACATCGATTTTGATTTCATTTTATTTACAGTCTATAAACTACCAAAACTAACTTAGCTGATAATATTCGGGTGCAAAATCGTTGGCCAGATTGCTCAGAAAATTAAAGTCCGACGAGCTGTTCGAATTTTCCAGCCCGCTGATGGCAGCCGCTGCCGCCGCACCACCACCAGTGTTGGCAAACGCCTGTATCTGTCCACCAGCCACCACAGGCGCACCACCCCCGTTCAGCACGAAATTGGAATTCGCCGCATTTGCATTTGGTATGTGGACATGAGAGGTGGGTGGCGGGGGCGCGCCTCCGCCTACCACTTGGATAGCGGCTGCAGTCGCAACTGGATTGTGGTGCGATGCATGCAGATGGGGGTGTGCTTGCGCCTGCATATGATGCGGATGCGGATGTGGATGATGGGGATGCGGATGCGGATGGGGGTGCGGGTGGGTGTGCGTGGGCGGCACAGGCGGTTGTTGTTGCTGTTGTTGAGCAGCGCCCGGTTCATAGTAGCCGCCGCCAAAGTTGTTGTAGCTATCGCAGTTCTCCATTTGCAGGCCAAGCGCACTATACGTTTCACCAGCTCCAATGTGATGCATGTGTCTAAGGAAAATTTAAATAAATTGCAAAAAATTTCAAATTAGACGAGTTTTTATTCGCTTAACGAAAATGTGTGCAGCAAAAAGTGAATGTGTCTCGACTTTCGTTAAGTTTGGAGCATGGTTGTGCAACTCACTACATAGAGGTCGCTTTGAACGTCGAATTGTTGAATTTGTACTTACTGTTGGTGACTTATAGGCGTCTGCTGTTGCTGGTGTTGTTGTTGGTGCTGTTGCTGGAACCCAACCGACTGGTGTTGGTGTTGGAAATTCATGTTGTCGTAGTAAGCACCGCCAGTCTGCGACTTGGGATCATAAAAGTTCGTCGGTCCGTTGATAGGTGGCGCCTCAAAATCACCAACTGGATGATGCTGCTGCTGGTGCTGTTGGTGGTTCATGTACGCACTGCCGCCATTGGTGTCGTTGTAGTTGTAGTAGAACTGCTGCTCATGTTGGTGTTGTTGCTGTTGACTGTTTTGATGGAAATTACTGTTGGCGGCATTGGTGTTTGGTTTGGGACTTAGATATTCGCCGTGAAGCGCTTGTTGCTGCTGTTGCTGCTGTTGCTTGTGCGGGTTGTGGTGCGGCGAGGCGGCAAACTCAATATCGTATTTGCCATAATAATCCTGAGGCATTTGCTGCGGCGCCTGCAATGCCTTTGCACTCGGATTCACATTCGGATTGGGATAGTAGGCAGCACCAGGAAAATAACCAGCTGGCCCAGTAGCGTTGCTGCTCTCGCTCAGCGGCGACGCAATTCCAATTGGATTCGCATTCGCGTTTGGATTCTGATACCGTTTCTTGTTGCCGGCTTTGGTTGCGGGCGGATTCGAGGCAACGGAGGCATCCGAATCGCGCCGGAAACTGGCCAGACTGGGACCCGCGTCGGTGTAGCCGAAGGGTGAGGCCTTGGACGAGGTGGAAACAGCCTCCTTTTTAATGACCTTGAGTTTTCAATCGAGTGAATATATGAATATGTGGTATACTGGTACACATAAAGTATATTGGAAATTTACCTGGCCGTGAGAGTCGTCTTTCTTCTTGACCTTGATGGGACTCTCGTCGATGTCCTCGTCGAGGCTGACGCTGGACGCGACGCTGGAGTCGGCACTGATGACATTCGAGGCGGATACGGTGGTGCTGCCCAGCAGATTGGACGAGATGCCGGTCTCCAGTGATGAGTTCGGGGTGACTGTCATTAGATTAGATTGATTGAATTACTGTGGATGCGTATGATTAGGCTATGGCGATCTAAGCACTTACGACTTCCTGCGCTCGGATTGTTATTTGTGGCGCTGGGCGTGTTGTTGTTGTGTCCTCTCGAATTGGACGTGGAGTCCGGTATATCATCTGAGGGCAGCTCGCAGCCTTGACACGATTTCTTCGAATTGGAGTCTGCATTTCACGGGAACCAAAGTAAATCAGTCGGTATTAGTATGAGTACAAAAATTAATGATTTGCTTTCAAAAAAGGAAACCAAAACCAAAACCAAACCAAGCCAAACCAAACCCAAATCCAAAGTAAGACGAATTAAACCAAATTAAAGCTGCAGATATCATGAAAAGGGGTTAGCAGTCCTCAAACAGGCAGTCGCGTGAGTAGACGGGAAACTCTTGAGTCTTGAGTCCCAGCGAAATGCAAAAGTTGAGCCCTCCTCCATCTGACAATGATTGATAAGCAACAGCATATTCTACTCTTCTCCAACTCGGCGCAAATGTGCCTCGAAAAGTAAAAGTGACCCGCCAAAGATAACTGAGAGTGTGGTTCGCGCTAAATGTTTCCACGTTCTCTCAGGCAAGGGGCAGTGTTGCCACAAGTTTTGTTCCCAATTTGATGTCGCTTTAAGATGACCTACATTTCAACCACATCTTGTAATGTCCGTTTTGGTGAATAAATTTGGAAAAAGATGTCTCCTTTCTCAAAAAAAGAGCGGGAACGTAAAAAAGAGCAAACACCACTAACAATATAGAAAGATTTAATTGTTATTAACCGATCGATACAATGCTTTGAAGCATTAGGAATTTAGACTCTGCATCGGCAATTTAAAAGATAAAATGTGTAAAACTGTTGTTTACTCATAGTGTGTATTATTTCAAGTTAAATAACCGCTGTGGGAACATATCTTGTGTTCAAAATCCGCACCATTAAATTGAGCCTATGAGCAAAAGAGGAAACAAAACGATAACGATAACAGCACTTTTTTTTGGCGCAAAGCAAAACCAACAAAATGCTTCTCTATTTAGTGGATCTGGATACAGATTTCCAATTTCACAGTCATCATTACTCGGTACTAAGAAGGGTCTGAGAGAGATCATTGGCTTCCATAGAGTTACAGAAAATCAGCATTCGGCGCATATTGCGCATCGACATCTCGTTGGACATTAATCATCCGATTATTTAAACAATTAGAATGACACGCGCATATTAATAATAATATTTAAATTGTGTTCATTTCATGCACAGAATGTGCAAGCATTTTTTCCATTGTTATAGCATTTTTTTGTGTTTTCTGAGCATTTGAAAACTGTAAAAAAATAAACTCTCTTTTGTATCTGCATATGTATTTGTTATTGTTGAACTTTTGAACAAATGTGACCGCTCAAAAAGGCGCGATGCATCTAAATAGTTTTACTAAAATGCATCTAATGAGCTCTTTTTTGAATTTCTTTCTTTGTTTTTGCCTCGTCGTATCATTGCCTCCTATTTTTCTTATTTTTGAAAGAAATTGAATTAATTTCACTGCGCCAAAGGAGAAAACTAAATAAGAAGTGAGTACATTATTTGGTATTATTGGTATTTTCTCTTGATTAAATTTAACATTAACACACACACAAAATACCATTACTAAGCCTAAGAAATTATTAAATATATTGGAACACTCTGCTTTTATTTTAAGTAGCTTAAATCTTTAGCAACGCAATATCAGCTTTAGCTCATCGATACAGTTTGAAAAGGTGTTCAAGTAAAGGAAAAAACCTACTTGAGAAATATTAAAAATGATAATTTTGCACTTACTGCTGTCGGATTGATCGTCGTCACCTTTGAGGCTATCCTTGTTGTCCTCATCGTCTGTCTTCGAGAGCGTTTGTCGCTTGTGTTTCATGCGGCGATTTTGAAACCAGACCTTAACCTGCAAGTGTTAGCAAAATGGTAGCAGCAATTGCAACAATTGCATTACATAATTACATAATGTGTAAATCTAAATAAATAGTAAAGTAAGAAAAGAGTTCAGCCGCATCTTATATATATATAATACATATATATAAAAAGTAAAGTAAGAAAACAGCTCAGCCGCATCAGGCCCTGTCAGCCTTGGTGGACTGCAATTTATCACACATAATGCAATTCTTCCACCTTTTGAGCAGAGCAGGTGAAACTGACAGACTGACTGACAGACTGGCAGACTGGCAAACTGGCAAACTGACTGATAAATCGTCGCATTGGAGTGGGTATATTGAAGGAGTCAAAGCTTGCACTCACCTGCCGCTCGGTCAGATCCAAGCTGGCTGCTATTTCAATTCTCCTTGGGCGGCATAAATATTTATTGAAATGGAATTCCTTCTCCAGCTCCAGCAGCTGCGTGTTTGTGTACGCGGTGCGCAGTCGTCGGGGCAGGCCGTTTTCTGGAACGAATTCAGCTGCAATTGAAAATTGCATTTCTTGTTTGAGTCTTGAGCAAATGGGAATTTGAACATGGCGCACAGCTCCAAATGCAGGCAAATGCGTACGTAACGCCTTCAACAAAACAAATTGCATACGCTTGAGTTCGACAGTTGAGTTCGGGGCGTTACCAACAACAACAAAAAAAGCTACAACAACATACAACAACAGCAGCAGCAGCAACTACAACAACTGGCTGGCTTGACAGGAATCAGAGTCCTTCGCACTGATATATTGCGGCAAATTGAAGAAGCAACTAATGCAACTGATGTTGCATAGTGACTTGAGCTCAGCTCCTGTGCTCGCGATTGTAATCAATCCATCAGCTCGTCACCGGCCATAACTAATTCAGCTCTCGGCCAACTTCACACAACAGCAGCAACTTTTATTCTTTCACCTAGCCCAATGTGGCTGCTGCTGTTGCTACTGCTGCAGCTGATGTCGCTGAAACTGCCACCAAAATGCGGGTAACGCATCTCTCGCAAGTTTTGTCGAGCGTCTCGCATCGCGAGCTCATTTCGAGGCAGCTTCCAATCTCGAGCGTTAAGTAATTAACAAAAAAACCTAATCAATCAATCTGTGTGGCACGACGCGTTGCGTCCCAGCGACACTTCAAGTAGTTTGGCTACTGTTTGTGTCTCTTCTTCTTCGTCTTCTTCTTCTTCGACTACTGTGTGCCTCTTCATCTTTTGGCTGGCTTCATTTGAATATCTGACTTGGGCGCAGCAATATGCGTTGATTATGCAATCGATGCCTCTTTTCTGGTTTCTAACTTGTATACCCTGAACACTTATTACAAAAAGAGGGGAATATTTATATAATGTAGCTGTGCGAAACTATCTTAAACTATCTTGATGATGCTTGGAATATATTTATATAGTTGCTGCATGCAGCACATATGTCAGAATCGGCTGGATTAGGTTAATAGCTTATAGCATATAGCTTTCGTGGAAACGATTGGTGAGTATTGAAAATGTGTATATAAAATTTAGATGTCGACATCCCGTATACAGGTAAATGTCATCATTGATGACATTTCTATGATTGTCGTTCTTTCTTGTACTTTTGCATTAAATTCAGAAACTTTAAATTATACAATATATTTTCAGGAAACCATATAAAGTCTAACTTTTCTATCCAATTCATCTCCAAGATTCGAAATGCTTGAAAATCGAAAAGAGTTCTTCAAATACAATAACTTAGTTTTTGAATCTTTTTAGTCAGTAATGACTCTTTGCTTTCGAGCTCACATATGTTTATTTTTGTTTTAAATTAAGATACCACATCGAAGAATAATAGCCAGGTAAAGTTGAACTGAGGCCATAATGTTTGTTGTATTTTACTGCTTCTACAGCAATCTATCTCCAGCAGGATCTTCAGTACATAGCTATAATAAAATATTCCCTTAGATAGTTGCAAATAAATTTCCTCGCTCAAATGCTTAAAGTCAAACATGTAATACAAGAAAAAAAAAACAATATAGAACCCACACGTGCGAGTATTAAAAAAGCAAAAATAAAATATTCGCATATCATTATATTATGGTAAAGTGAGCATTTGATATTTCAACGGCGCACACCTTATTTGCATTGATGCGATGGAAAATATTTGCCACCAAAAAAAAAGAAGGAAAATGTTTCGACGAGAATATTTCCAGTTGAATGGAGGAGTTGCGTGAACGGAGTGAGTCTCAATGGCCAACAAATGGCAGCCAGACATAGACACTGATTGAATTACAGATGCGAGTTCCTTCATCAATACTCGCAGAGCGGATGCCATAAACACCACCTGGTTGGGATGTCACACACACACACACAGACAAACACTTACTTCTGTTGAGAGCTACACATTTGCCCAAAATAGAAGGGCACAGGGACACACCGGTAAACACGAATCGGGAGTTTGTGGGCGTTGCGGGCGGTGGAAACAAGTCGCATGTAAACAGTACTTGCGAAAAGTGCCCAGATACGACAGAGAGAGAGCAAGAGAGAGATGGAGAAAGAGTGTGGTACGAAAAGCATAAATTTCGCACAAAAGTTGCAACCAAACTGTTTACGAGCAAGTGGCAAAGGATGCCGGAGAAGAAAGAGAGAGAAAGAGAGAGGAAAAGAGAGGGAGACGAAACTGAAAAGTAAAGTGCACAAAAGCAGAAAATATGATTTCCTTTTTGGCGACGACGAGCAGAAAGATAATTTTCTAAACCAAACCGTGCAGACACACACAACCAGGGAGGCAGAGAGCTGGGGAAGGGCGAGGGGGGCAGGGAGTTAGTGGAGGATTCCTCCTTGTATAAGATTGGAGCAAAATGAAAGCAAGTTGGTTGCAATTTCTGCAGCCTGGTCAACATGAAAGCACAGGGCCGAAAAGTACGACAGCTGGCAGGGCATTCAAGGTATCTGAAAATTACAAAATGAATTTTTGGGGGGGCGTTATGGATGGGCGGGGGAATGGGGCGGAAGTGCATTGGAAATGTCATCAGCATGGATGAAATGCCGGAAAAGTCGAAACGAAACGAAACTTATCAGCAACTACGTCGGATACTTTGTGCAGCATTGGCAGCATTGTGGCCTTTTTGCCTAACTGAAGATTTGCACTTGTGTTTTATAAACAAGAGAGCAACGGAATTTGCTTTAGGCCAATATATATGTATGCCGCATACTATTTCGGCCATATAATATTAATTTTCAGCTCGGGAGTGCTACTACTGATTTATGACACTTGGAATACACTTATTAACAGCGCCGAGAGCATAATTTACATGTTAACACTTAAACGCACTCGCTGCCCCTTTGGGTCCAGCTTTTGGTCTGACCTTTTTTGTGCATGCACTTTGTCCTCCTTCCAGCAGTCAACTATGTGAAAATTTATGTCTGCATTTTTGTTGGTCTAACCTAAAAACAAAAAAATTGCCAGGCTACAGGCACACTTAACGCATCTGCGGCCCCTGGCCAACAATGAAATTAAAATGAGCGTAAATTTTGCAATTGTTGCAAAATGTTTTCCATCGCACCCAAGGTAACACTAACATTTGTAAGTTTATCATTGCATATTAAAATGAGTACACAGCAAGAAATTTAATTCAGTTTTAAAGGCAAATATGCCCCCCTATATCATATATTTATCTAGCAAACCTAAGCATTTTTATCAAATCACTTACCGCTTTTGTAGTAAGTAATTAAATTTGTAATGAACATAGCGAGCTTTTGTTGTTGTTAAGGAAAGAGGTTCGTATACCATGAACCCATTAACAATGAAGTAAATGTCTAATGAAATTGTGCATAATTATTTAACACACAAAAGCAAGAAAGTCGGACCTAGAAGTATAACCATTCTTGATCTGCATGAAAAGCAGAGTCGATTTCTGATAGCAATAAAAGATGCATTTGTAGAAACATAGTCTTCCATTTGATACAAAATATGCCCTTTTTATAGACCAATTGCAAAAATTTCATTATATTTTGTAAGGCAAAACTTATATAAAATCTGGCTTCAGAGAATCTCCTAGTCGAGTTTTCTTAACAAGATCTTGGACTTGTTTCATTTGACTTTACTGTAACTCTGCTAAACAATATATTAATATATGAGGTGCGGCTAGAATAATCACCTTAAATGCTGTTCTCATATTCTATTCTGCAACTTACAAGTATTTAAATGGAATAAAAAATGACTGCACATTTAATTATGAATGCAAAGAGTAATTGAACCAACCAACAGCAGTAATATCATTTAAAGTCTGGCAGTGTACTCATTTAAATCATTCTCATGTCCCATTCCAAGGAATGGAACTTTTTACTGGGCAACCCTGACAACTTTTCCCCCAATGCCACTCTGCATAAGATGAGTGAGTTTTGTGTTTGGATTGTGTGCTTGACCACTTACACATGCTAGTCAATGGGGGATGCACATTACGGACATTTGTGGACACATGAATGGGACAGCGGTCAACAAGGTGGACACAATTTGTGGCAGGACCTTTGAACGCCGCCAGCAAAGAACCGCAAACAAGATGACCAAAGGTGGACAAACAAAACTCAGAGCAAAAAAAAAATGACCTCAATTTATCTTGTAAATTTTTGGAGCGACTAAAAATGGGTGGGAAATGGCTTGAATTATGTTTGCGTTTGCGACTGCCAAAACTTTAAAGGACTTTCAGGAGGCACAGCAAGTGCCTTGACAAATCAATCAAAAAAGGCAGTCAAATTTGAGAACAATGGGAGTCAAAGAAGGAGTAGGAGCAACAGCGGATGTACAGCTTACATGGACGGCTTCTCGGCTTCCAGCTTCTGCTACTCCAAAATGCCAAATGCTAGGATGCGATGCGATGCAGTAAAAATGCTCAAGCTGACAACAAAAAGAAACACAAGCCACAGCTACAGCTACAGATACAGATACAGATACAAATGCAGACAGAGCTGAAGCAATGGGAGATCTGGTGTGGTGTGGGTAGCAAAACGTACGAATGCGCAGAGCTGCATCATTAATCATTCCAGCCAAAGGAAGACAACGACCGAGACGGAAAAGAAGGCGATGACGACGATGTGCCAGTCGAAAAAGTCAATTTCTCATGAAAATATATATTTTGTATCTCTATCTATTTGCTATTCGTCTCTAAGAAAAGCACAAAAAAAAAGTGGAATTTTAAATTGGAGCCGCAGACAAAGTTGTATCTATTTTATTGGCTACTCGAATCGCATTAAAGACAAACGTGGCTCAAAGCTTGTTGCTTGCCTGATGGCCGGCAAGTCCGGCACTTGAGTGCCTGCTGATTAGCTGCCAAACGGGAGACAAAGGCCAAGTTAAGGCCCAGATGAATGTCTTCAATCATTTAATTGTGGGCTTGATTGACATTCATGCGAAAAGTGTACAGCACTACATTCAAGGATCAAGCATTTGCTCTGGATTAGTTTTAATTAGCCCCGGATGAAAGGGTTGTTGGCGACAGCCACAACAATAACAACAAAATAGTACGATTACGATT